GGTTACGTCACGGGAGGGATGACGTCAGGTTCGATATGGGAAATCGAGAAGAGCGTTGGAAGTCAAACGAATGGAACGAGATCGTAGAGGATCGAGTTGGAAGCTGAAAATTTTAACGAGTGAATTGATACGATTATGATGATACGATGTCTGATTTTTATTGTTCAAGAACGTATCAAACAGTTTGAAACAGGAATTGCAAACAGTTTCAAACAGGATCGAGATTCGAAGAAATAATTGTAAAAGATTAATTTGGAAGTGATTTTAATTTAAAAATTTAAATAAATAAATCGCGCTTGATATCTTTCTTTTTTCAACAATTATAATGCAAACAGTTTCAAACAGTTTGAAATCGAGATTCGAAGGAATAATTGTAAAGGATTAAGTTAAATTGGAAGTGATTTTAATTTAAATAAATAAATCACACTTATGATACCTTCCTTTTTTTCAATGATTTCAATTTTCAATGAGAGTATAGTCGATATGGATTTGCAAACAGTTTCAAACAGTTTGAAATCGAGATTCGAAGAAGCAATTAAATGAATAAATCACACTTACGATACCTTTCTTTTTTCAACAATTACAATAATAACTGCTCAATATTGAATGAAATCATAGTCGATATGGATTTGCAAACAGTTTCAAACAGTTTGAAATCGAGATTCGAAGGAATAATTGTAAAGGATTAAGTTAAATTGGAAGTGATTTTAATTTAAATAAATAAATCACACTTATGATACCTTCCTTTTTTTCAATGATTTCAATTTTCAATGAGAGTATAGTCGATATGGATTTGCAAACAGTTTCAAACAGTTTGAGATCGAGATTCGAAAAAAACAATTAAATAAATAAATCACACTTACGATACCTTCCTTTCTTTCAACGATTACACAATTACTCAATTTTCGTTCAATGAAAACGTAATCGATATGGATTTGCAAACAGTTTCAAACAGTTTGGAGCACGAAGGCGCGAACAAATGACGGGGTTAGGTTCCCGAGGAAACAAATCCTGCTGCAGCACCCTAAGCAAATACTCGAAAGCGTGATTCCCTGTTGACGTCGGTGACTTAGCATCCTGCGTTCCACCCTATGAATCCGAAGTTTGCCCGTCGAAAGGAAGAGGCCTGCGAGGGAGGGAGACTTTTATGCGAGGCGGACCATGTCAGAGGGGTGTCGCGTCTGCCACGTGCCGATCTCTGTGGGATCATTTAGGGCAGGGTGTTAGGATCAAATCTACCGTGAATCGATCTACGTCTCCTGTAACTTTAAACCAACCGATTGTTCAATCTTCCTCTATTTTTCGTTCCTCTCTCTTCTCTTTCTCCTTTCTCCTTTTTTTTTTTTTCTTTCCTTCTCGAATTCCAGATCCTGCTTCAGAACGGACGCTTCTGACACGTTTTTGAATTTTCTATGAATACGAATTAATTACGATCTTTTTTCATTAAAAAGATCCTCGTATTTTAACCACAGCATACATAATCAAATATATAGTGTAAACTCTCGATATTTACCTTTCCTCGCGAAATTGACTCAACTCTTTTCACCTAATGAAACTTGGAAACTTGAAGAACACGTTCGAGAAAAAATTAAAATCATAAAGAACAATTGGCTCAACTCTTTTATCTAATAAAACTTGGAAATTTGGAGAACACGTTTGAGAATAAATTAAAATCGTAAAGAACAATTGAAATTGGCTCAACTCTTTTACCTAATGAAACTTAAAAACTTGGAGAACACGTTTGAGAAAAAATTAAAATCGTAAAGAACAATTGAAATTGGCTCAACTCTTTTACCTAATGAAACTTGGAAACTTGAAGAACACATTCAAGAAAAAATTAAAATCGTAAAAAACAATTATTCGAAATCTAGGATCGAAAGTAACGATGGTTGAAAGATCGAATTTACTAGAAGGATGGACCACGAGTAGGAAGATTACAATAAAGAAGGAAACTCTCGATATTTCCCGATTTATTTATTACTTTTCCTTTCAAATTAACTCAACTCTTTTACCTAATGAAACTTGGAAACTTGAAGAACACATTCAAGAAAAAATTAAAATCGTAAAAAACAATTATTCGAAATTATTCGAAATTATTCGAAATTATCTAGGATCGAAAGTAACGATGGTTGAAAGATCGAGTTCACTAGAAGGATGAACCACGAGTAGGAAGATTACAATAAAGAAGGAAACTTTCGATATTTCCCGATTTATTTATTACTTTTCCTTTCAAATTAACTCAACTCTTTTACCTAATGAAACTTGGAAACTTGAAGAACACGTTCGAGAAAAAATTAAAATCGTAAAAAACAATTATTCGAAATTATTCGAAATTATTCGAAATTATCTAGGATCGAAAGTAACGACGGTTGAAAGATCGAGTTCACTAGGAGGATGGACCGCGAGTGAGGAGGCTGCGATAAAAAAGGAAACTCTCGATTTACGATTTATTTTTTTCACTTTCCCTTTGAAACTCAACTCTTTTACCTCGTGAAACTTGGAAACTTGAAGAACACATTCAAGAAAAAATTAAAATCGTAAAAAACAATTATTCGAAATCTAGGATCGAAAGTAACGATGGTTGAAAGATCGAGTTCACTAGGAGGATGGACCACGAGTGAGAAGATTGCAATAAAGAAGAAAACTCTCGATATTTCCCGATTTATTTATCACTTTCTCTTCGAAATTAACTCAACTCTTTTACCTAATGAAACTTGGAAATTTGGAGAACACGTTCGAGAAAAAATCGTAAAGAACAATTATTCGAAATCGAACTAAGATGAAAAGTAACGATGGTTGAAAGATCGAGTTCACTCGATAAAGAAGGAAACTCTCGATATTTATCATTTCCTTTCTTCGCGAAATTGACTCAACTCTTTTCACCTAATAAAACTTGGAAACTTGAAGAACACATTCGAGAAAAAATTAAAATCATAAAAAACAATAGGCTCAACTCTTTTACCTAATGAAACTTGGAAATTTGGAGAACACGTTCGAGAAAAAATCGTAAAGAACAATTATTCGAAATCGAACTAAGATGAAAAGTAACGATGGTTGAAAGATCGAGTTCACTAGGAGGATGGACCGCGAGTGAGGGGGCCGCGATAAAGGAGGAAAGGGAGGGGTGCGAAGGCAGGGTGCCCGAGGCAGGCCACGTCGTAGGTGCAAAGTTTAACAATGCGGTTTCTACGCTAGAGCAAACGATTTATGCACGGGAGAAGTCCGCCCACCTCTAGTATCTTCATCTCGGCCGGGGGACGTGGCTCGGCTACGAGCCGAGATCGCTCGACAACCGCCTTTTATATATAAAATCATTTCCTTCTCCTTTCTTTTCAATTTTTTGACTTCCACGCTTGGAACATCAACATATAGAAGTCAAAAAATTAAAAAGAAAGGAAAAAGAAATAATTATATATATATTTTATTTTATCAGAGAACATTTGGTTTACCGAAGTCGATTTAATTTTAATTAATTCTAGCGTTAAGTGACAAGATAAGGTCCATATATTCGTGGTAAGATGGAAAAACTTTTTACATAAAAAAAAAGGGAAAAAAAATAAGTGAAAGAGCTTTAAGATCGCCGGAGGCGAGTGTCCTCTTCCTCTGTAATTAATAAAACCCGCCAACGACTCACTACTGCGTGTATGCAACAACATGTTACTACACCAAATAGTATATCCTATGTAGAAAGGTATACGCGACAGAAAGATCTACTCTCTTTAAAAAACTTCCACCCTTTGATATTGCAACAAGTATATATAACATAGAATAACCTCCTTCCTTATATATATATATATATATATATATATAAGAAATTAAACTTTTATATATATATATATATATATAAACTTATATATATAACTTATATATACTACTATATACTATATATATATATTACTATATACTACTAACTTATATATATATATATATAATGAAAAAGAGAAGTTTAATTTCTATAAGGAAGAATGTTATATATGTTACACATACTTGTTGCAATTATATATATAAAGAGCATTAAAAAAATTTCAATTAGAATCTTGGAAAGAGACTCAATTCCTACATTGAATCTTTAAGTTTTAATAATCATTTATGGATTACCAATTCCCTCTTGCTATCGTTTCCTTCGAGAAACGTGTACATAGTCTTTAAAGGGTATCGAGTACATTTTTGGAGGGAAAAGTGGGCGATTAAAGGAAAGGGATCGATCGAAGGGGTATAAATACGTGGAAGAAAGTGGTTTATCGATGAAACAACAACAACAACAACAACAGCAACAACAACTCGACCTGTTCAACCGGAGGGGAGAGAGGCGATGCCAAGGAACGATAAAGGGGTTGTGGAAGCTTGCAAGCTCGCGATACTCTCGGTTATAAATCAGGCGGGGAGACCCTCATCCCTAACTAAATCGACTTTGCGTAACCAAAATTGGGGGAGGGGTGGGGAGGGTTTGCGGTGGTTACCGGTGTGAAATGTTCCCATGGGGGGAGGGGTCCCGGATAGAAAAGAGAGCAGCAGACAGAGAGAGAGAACCCCAACGATCCCTAACAGGACAATATGTTAGCCGTCCTTCGTTACGCTTAGCCAGACTATCCGATTATATCCGTATTATCCTATAAAGCGACTGATCTCTGTGAGAATCCACTATTCCGTTCCTTCCAATTTAATCGATTAATTATGTACAAAATAAAATCGACGAAAGTTATAGTCTTTCCTTCTCGTTTAATTATAAACGAATCGATGTACGTGGGATTAAATTGAAAGGTAATTTGATCGAAAAATTCGATCTTTCCGTTTGACGTCATTATTATTCGTAATTTTCCTGTGAGATTGTTGATTTTGAAAGATTTCGATGTGAGAGCAGAGTTAAAAATTTGTGAATTAATTGATCTCGTGCAAACCATTTGCCATTTTGTATTTATTATAATACTTTTGTTTTATCCACTGTTTCGTTCTAACGAAACGGAAAGTTTTAATAAAAATAGATATAAAATTCGTCTTACTTTTCAAATATCGTAATAATTTCCTCCTTCGTGCATACTTCATTGGTGGAAACAAGTCTGAAGAAGAGTCACTGGCCTATCTCCACCTTTGCCGCTTTGTTGACAAAAAAATCTGTAATTAGAACATTCGAAATCGTTAAAATAATTTTCATCTCGAACACAAAGTTACGTTAATCGTCCTGAAATAAATTTTCGAAATTTTCTAATTAATTATTTAATTATTGTAACATTAAATTTTCACCGATCTTTACCTCAACTTCGTACCTCGTTTCAAAAAAATTTTTCCAAACTCGGTTTTTCCCCTCGAAAAACTGTCCGTCGTTCCGTGCTTCGTCATCGAGCGCAATTACGCTTCTTTCCCTTCGCTTCCTTCTTTCCTCCATGCTCGAGAAACGAGACGAGAGGAGCCACCGAGGAGTTCATTATAAAACCGCGAATACATAAATTGGTCGTGGAACGTAATCCGACCCGTTGGCGGGTTCGTGTTACGCGATAATCAACGACTATTTCAACGAGTAAACATTCCATTTTCTCATGTAATTAAAAAAAAGAACGTTCATTATTTCGGGCAAAAATTAATTGGCCGCGCGATGTTGCGCGATGTTGCAAAGCGCGAGGCCCTCAGCCTTGCGCCTAGTCGATGATCGGGCTCGGTGTTGGCGAGGGGAGGGGGGAGCCGAGTCACGGGGAAGAGAGAGAGAGAGAGAGAGAGAGAGAGAGAGAGAGAGACCGATATGAAAAACGGAAAATGCGGGACGAGCGCGAAAAAAAAAGAAAAAAAGACTTTCGTTTTCTCACGTGTTCGCACCCCCTCCTCCCCTCCTCCCCTCCTCCCCTCCTCCTCCTTTCCCTCTCCCCCCCCCCTCCGCTCGGCCAGACGCCATTACGTCAGTCTAATTAAAGGAACGATGAAACGTTGCGTTGCTCGATGAAAAATTTCTTGCGCAACCTGCGATGAGAAAATCGCTCGATTCGAGGCCATTGTGAACGCGTCTTGATCTCTTCTATCGCTCCCCTATTTATTTCGTAATTATTATCTTTCCAAATCGAATTCCATAATCGGTTTCTACCGCCTTCGAATTTCCTCGCGTCTCGCGACACGCGAAAGTCGAGTTACTTGGAACGAGTATCTGAGAGGAAAAAGGTATCTTTAAATTTTCGAGAGAGAGAGAGAGAGAGAGAGAGTTAAATTTTCAAGATGCTTCGAATAATTTGTTCTTTCTTTGAGCCCATCGGAAGGCGATAAAGAAATTAGAGTAATCGTATCGTACGTGTTCATCCTCATCTTCATCATCGTGACAAGGAAGAAATAGGAAAGAAACAGGAAACTCGGTTCGATCGTATTGTTGAAACTGAATCGCATCCACGTTTTTTCCCAAGTGAATATTCATCTCTTCTTCTTCTTCGCCGGGAGCAAACCGTAAGATCCTGTTTCACGGTTTCTCTTTCATTATAAATCATATATATATATATATATATATATATATGTATGTATGTATATATATATACGTACGAAAGTATAATGAACCATTTCCTTCGCGCGTGCACGAGAGCCGCTTCCTTCCACGCGAACGAAAAAAAAAAAGAGAGAGAGAGAGAGAGAGGGAGAGGAAGGCGAAAAAAAAAAAGGAAGCGTGCGCGTGTGTCTACTAGGCGAGAGAGCGTGTAAATCCTTGGGCAGGGAGGAAAGAAACTAATCACAGAGGGAGTATCCTCGTAAATCTCGGCTACGTGTCATTCGCGAGTCGCAACTCAGGATTTAATAACACGCCAGAGAAGAGAGCTGACCAGTTGTGCAAGCTGTTATTTGGCTATGCGTTTATTTCACTCCCGCCCTTGGGCCAGTCACACTTTCTCCATCCAAATTTTTTTTTTTTTCTTTTAATATTCTTTTCATACTCTTTTACATTCTTTTCATTTTCAGAATGACGATTCGAGAAAAAATTGATTTTCCCCCAATAATAACCAAACAAGAGGTGATAAACGATAGGAAAGAAATATTTTAATAGTGATGGTATTAAATAACACCTGATCTATATTACGAATCTATCTAATTGTAATATATATATATATTAATAGTGATAATATTAAACAATATTATCTGATCTATATTACGATCTAATTATAATAGATGTATATTTTAATAGTGATAGTATTAAATAATATCTGATCTATATTACGAATCGATCTAATTGTAATATATATATATATATATTTTAATAATGATGATATTAAATAACACCTGATTTATATTACGAATCGATCTAATTGTAATATATATATTTTTTAATAATAATGATATTAAACAATACCTGATCTATATTACGAATCGATCTACTTATAATATATATATTTTTTAAGAATAATGATATTAAACAATATCTGATCTATATTACGAATCGATCTAATTGTAATATATATATATTTTTTAATAGTGGTAGTATTAAACAATACCTGATCTATATTACGAATCGATCTAATTGTAATATATATATATATATTTTTTAATAGTGGTAGTATTAAATAACCTGATCTATATTACGAATCGATTTAATTGTAACATATATATATTTTAATAGTGATAGTATTAAACAACACCTGATTTATATTACGAATCTAATTATAATATATATATGCTTATTCTAATGTAATAAGCATGTTTTATATATAGCGAATACGAAGATTTTAATTAACATTAATTTGTTAGGCAATAGAAAACAGGTTAAGAAAAATTTCACGATATATTTACGATTTGAATTTTCGAAAAATTATTCATCGAAGAAAAATTTTAAAAGTATATTCGCGAAAGGAAGAATGAATTTTGCGACTCTTTAACTCTCTCCCCCTCCTCTCCCTCTCTTAGGAAGGTTTATCTTTCTCCGTTTACGATTTCACGTTTACGAGCACTTGTGAATTCCGGGCGGCGTTAAAAGGGCGGTTAACTCGGGGATGCTGGTTATTTAATCTCTAATCCCGGCACTCGAGGGTGGCACAGTCATCGATAGGGTCGGATCACCCCACGAAATCATTTTCGGGGGGTCGAACTCCCGGGACCCTCGCCCTTCTCCCCGCAAAAATGCTTGCATAGGGGTGTAACAGTTTGCCATTCATCGTGCCTTGTACTCGTCGTTGTTATTGTTGTAGTCGAAAAATACGAGTCAAACGGCTCGTTCTTTCTGTGTTATTAACGTAAAAAAGGAAGACTTGCCTTAACGACAATCAAGAATCGTAACAAATTTATTAAAACTCGTATTGAAAATCTCGAGATGTGTTTAACGATCACTTTCGTCGAATATATAACGAATGCTTTTGTCGAAATAATATTTGAAAGCTATTCACAAAAATTTTACTTCAATTTTTCGACACCCTGAGATTAAAATTTCAAAATTTCGAGCGAGAATAGACGACAAAAACCGAGGAGAAAGAGAAATACATTTTCAACTTTTCGACACACCCGATTATTCCCGTATTTCGATAATCCACCGGTAACATCACCGCCTCTTACCGATCGGTATATCGATATCGACAGGGTTGCCACAGCGTTCGCGTTACGTGGCATCGCGTTATTGCCAAACACACGCGGTAAGACACAATAAACCTATCCGTATCTCGATCCGCGATCTTACACGAAGAAAACGGCACGCAACACGAGCTTCTTCCTCTTCCCTCGTATCGAGCAAGTGTCCAACGCATTGCGACACACGCGTACACACTCCTTCTGCCCCCTCTCGTAAGACACCCGTTTACCGGAAAGGTGTGCGCGTATAAGCGTTAAGTTTATTGGATATTCAGCGTACGTTTCGTATCACCTGCTACGCGGCCAAAGCCACGCACGATGACCGGCCGAATTCTAATTTGGCGAGAAAAAAAATTCGTTGCTGCCGGATTGCGGAACTGCGAGCGTTGAGCGTGCGTGTACAAGCGCACGGAGGAGGCAAGGTGAATCCCCGGATCGGGCCACCGGTATCGGTTAATTCCAGGTTGTAAGCGCGTAATGTATGCGGCCATTAACCGTAATGAACACACGGCCGTGCTTTCTTACGGGAGAGAACCATATTCCGGGAGAATTTGCCGGGGAATTTACGAGGCAGGACACGGTAAGAGGGCGTGAATTACTGTTGCCGTCGATCCAACCGTTCGAATCGATCCTCTCCGTCGATGTTGATCCTTCGAGCGACGAGTTACTTCTGCGCAGATAAGCAATAATGGGGAACGAACGGTGAATGTTTTGTTTACGTTTCGTATACGTTGAAAGTATGTTTACTAAAGTGCGTAGTATAATGGAGGAAGAAGGGGAGATTTATTATGATATTTGTATGTTTTGATTTGAAGTATGTCGTGTATTTGATATGTTTGATTTTGTTCAAATAATAGAAAAAGAGATTATATGGTATGTTATGATTTGTATGTTTTGAATGTGATTTGAAGATGTGGAAGAAAATATGCTTAATACGTATTTGATATATTTGATTTTACGTGAGTAATAGAAAGAAGGGAAGAATTATTATAATATAAAATAATTTAAATAATTTAAATAATTAATAATTTAAATATTAATAATTTAAATAATTTATATTTAATTTAAATAATTGAAATATAATATATATTATGTGTATTTTGGATTTGATTTAAAGATGTGGAAGAAGATATGTTGTGTATTTGATATGTTTGATTTTGTGATAGAGTAATAGAAGAGGAAAGAGTTATGACATGGTGTGATTAAAAGATATGGAAAAAGATATATTGTGTATTTGATATATTTATTTGATTTAAAGATGTGGAAAAAGATATGTTGTATATTTGATTTGATATATTTGATATATTTGATTTTGGTGCAAATAATAGAGGAAAGAAATAAGAATTATTATAATATTGTATGTTTGGATGTGATTTAAAAATATAATACATTTGATATACTATTTGATAGTTTTTTTATGAATAATAGAGAAAAAAGGAAAGAATTATTAAAATAATTATTAAAATATTTTATATCTACATGTTTGAATGTGATTTGAAGATATGGAAGAAGAATTTGATATATTTGATTTTATGCAAATAAATAGAAAAAGAAGAGAAGAGTTATGATATGATGTGTTTGAATGTGATTTCAAG